CTCCCCAGGAAATCCTTCTTCTAAGAAAAGCGCTTTGTAAATTGCTTCCTTTCTAACCTCATGCAGTTCAAAGAAATCACTTTCTTCTAATAAATGGCAGCCTGAAAGTTCAGGCTGTAAATCACAGATAAATAGCTCGCTGGCAGAAGGGGGTGGGGGTGGGGGTTGGGGATGAAGTCTCCTGGGTAATCAAACCTCACTATACACCGGCCCCAGTAAAAATAGGTGGGTCTTAATAAGCACATCTTTCCTAGGCACACAAAGATAGGGAAGTCTCAAAGCAGACTGTAGCAGGAATGCCTGCAGCTGCAAGATGTCTGGGAACTGACACAGAAACTTCTCCTCCCAGATAGAACAACAGAGACTAAAGCCCAGTCTACATAATCAAGGAACTGGGTAAAGGCTGATAGAAATTTTGTTTACACAGATAGCACACCTGGTCCCAACTAAATCCTTGGGCTCCTAGGAGGACAAGACATTTCTCCCTCATGAGCTCCTCCCTCACTAGCCCGCTTATAAAACTCCTGATATTTTTACTAAAAAACTTGGCAACCCACTTGACTTCGCTTGCAATGGAGAGATGTTCTGCCCACCAAACTCCTGATCCAAACCCATTCCATGTGCACGCGCATCTGTGATGCTATTGATCTCCTGGCCGTGGAGACCAAGAACCTGGTAACCACCCCACACCAACAAGGTTTCAGCAAGTATTGCGAACACAGAGCCTAACCTCAGTGACTCCCCTTTATGTAGCATAGACATTCATTCTTTTATTAGACTTTACACACACTCAGCCTCTCACACTGTCCCCCCTTTATCTTTGCGCTGTCTGCTTGGCTCTGCAGCTTTAGGCCATCGATGCCCCAGTCATGACTCTCTCACCTGCAATGTCAGCTTTTAGTTACAAAGTTAACCTTTAAAAGGCCTTGCTCCTGTTGGGTCCTCCGGATTTAATCCGAGTTGTTTTTTTTTTTTTTTTTTTCATCTGATTCTGAGCCTCTGTGGAATGCAGAGAGTTTTTTCTTTTTCCTTGCTCAAATCTTGACTGCTTTGACACATTTTTTTTGCCTCTAAGAGTTGACTCTTTGATCTGTTTTTTTTTTTTTTTTTTTTTCTGAGATGGAGTCTCACTCTGTTGCCCAGGCTGGAGCCCAACAAACAGCAAGATCTCATCTCCCATCCTACAAAGTTCTTGCCTATGGCCTTCATAGGGTCACACCATTCTCTCACTAGACTCCCAAGTAGCTGACTACAGGCATCCACCACCACGCCCGACTAATTTTTTTTTGTATTTAATAGAGACGGGGTTTCACTGCTGGCCAGGACAGTCTCATCTCCTGACCTCTGATCCACCAGCCTCGGCCTCCCTAAGTGCTGGGATTACAGGTGTGAGCCACCACGCCCGGCCTGATCCCTTGAATTGTTGCCCTGAGGTCCTGCATTTGGGCCTAGTCCCTGATCACAGATATCCCATTTGGGATCAACATTTGGAAATTCATATTCGGCCAGTAAGACTCCACTCTTGGGAGGGTGTTGCCTTCCCTCTGATGGTCGTGGGTTGCTCACTAATCATTCCTTCCTGTGAACGGGATATTTATAATGACTTTATTTTAGCTCAGGTAAAAGTTGGTCCTAGGAATTGGTCCAGCTGGTCTGCTAAACCGGTAGGGATCTTTCTAGGAGCATTCATTTCCTTCTTAATATTCCTAACTTTAGTACTTGTAAGAGGAGTATTTACAGCTAATGTCTCCCTGTCTCATGGGCATTTCCTAAGAGGGAACATAGATGCCTGTTGTGGTGGAAGGACAGGGAAGTTCTCAATATCCATCTACACTGTTCTTAATTTTGCCTTTAAATTTGGATAAGGATTTAAAGGAGCAGTTGGTTTGGCCTCATATCTCCGGTCTGTCTTCTCTTAACCCTCCTGCTGCCCCTTTGATTTTCTTGTCCCTTTCTTTGTGAGACATATGGAGGCAAGGCCGATAGGGGTCCCATGGCTTTTCACTGGGTAGAGGCTTTTACTAAGCTCTTTTTCTCTTGAGGTGGAACATGCGGCCAATTCCTGATAGCAGAGAATGTAACCTTTCTCTTCTTGTGAGGATTGTAGTTTATTAGTCACATAGAGAATTAAAGCTTGGCACACTGTCAATTCTCATCTGACATAAACTTCAGCTTGAAGACTAGGCGCTTTCATAAAATGTCTTTCTTTGTCTCTGAAAAGAATTTCTTCTTTTCTTCTTCTTCTGTTCTCATTTTTAGGTTGTCTTAGAAATGAGAAAGTTTAATTAAATATCTAATGAAGAATGTTCTTCATACACACAATTTCTAACCCTACTAGCTGAGCCTCTCTGGCAAACACCTCCAAAAACAGACATTGCTTTCTTCCAGATTTCATTTGACTCACATTCATACTTCCTCCTAGAAGAGAAACTGAGTACAGAAAGAAATCTCCATGATTTGGGATTCTGGAGCTTAAACAAAGCTTGCATATTGTCATGAGAATAATGATGAAACCTGAACCATTTGAGAATGCCAAGAATTTGAATGCCAAAAACCGTGGTGGAACCCGCCATTTCATTTACAAGAAAGAAACATCTTGTCCTTCCGAAACCCAGGTTGATAGAATCATGAGTTCAAGACGTCGTCCTGAGTCATCAGTGCCTATGTGGTCTTAAACACTCTTCATATTTCTAACAGCGAATGTTGCATCATCGCGCTTACGAGTGGAAGCCAAGAAGGATGGCAACCGAACCAGCGTGTGACATCATGACTTTCCACGCCGAGCTCCACTCTTACCTGCCAGATGACTCCAGATGGTTTTTCCCCTTCAGTTATTGAGAACAACCATCAAGAATCGTGATATCACCAGCAAAAGAGCACAGATGTGTCCATATTTTGAGTTGAACACTGTTCCACTGATAGGTCACAGAGAAATGTCCCAATAATTCAGAACAGAATATACTTCACATGAATGCTTTTCTCTGATTTTGTCTTGAAATCATGGTAAGGCACCTTCTCCGAATTAGGTTTTTTCAACATTCAAAGAAGAGATTATATATTTGTTCTCCTGCCCAAATGTTTTTCAACAGAAACTTCAACCTTCTCTATATTTGAAACAACACTTGACTGAAAGTAATGAAAGTTAGTACACACTTAAGAGAGTCACATGTTTGATTTATTCGTTGGTATTAGATTTCGTCAATCACCGTGCTTAGCGCCAACTTAGTCGTTTCAGATCAGGTGATGCAAAGAGTTCACATCATTTCAGCATGACTAAAAAGCCCTGAATATCCTCGCAATGCATATTATCCAGAAACAATATCTCTTCTGATTAATAGCTGATTCCGGTTTCCAGTGTGAAGATTTAGAAGGTGAAAATGATTTAATATGATGTGATATAAATAAGATAATTAGAATGAACTCTTTTCCATTTCAGACAATTTCCGGTAAGAAATGGACTTCCCCACGCGAATAAGTTCATCACAAACATATTGGGTAATATCAAACCATCCATGAGAAGTGAAAAGCAAAGTGGTTTACACCAGAATAACAGCTGCGTGCCACAATATAAGAACTGGATCCCGAACCGCGAGTGAATAAGAAATCAATGATCTGAATAACGGTTCACTCAGAACACTTTCAACCCAAACAATGCACAGGCTCCAGCAACAGTGATGAATGTCTTGGCAAGACCTGTGAAGTCGCTTGACATGAGGATCAACCCACCAGCCCCTGGGCTTGAAAGGACTATTTTTAACAGACATAAATGAATTAAATTAGTAACCTGATTGTTTCGCTGATGAAGAAAGATGCACTCATCAACCAACACCAGCCTGGATAATCAGTTTAATGGCTTGGAAAGATCAAATACAAAAAGAGCACCACTTGAGACTGCTTCTCCAGTCTTACAAACAAAACACGCCACCAGGAAATGAGAAAACCACACCTGCTCACGGCCTTTTCTTTTCTTTTCTTTTCTTTTCTTTTCTTTTCTTTTCTTTTCTTTTTTATTTTATTGAGACAACCTTTCACTCTTGTTTCCTAGACTGGAGTGCAATGGCGTGATCTCAGCTCACCGCAACCTCTGCCTCCTGGGTTCAAGCAATTCTCCTGCCTCAGCCTCCCTAGTAGCTGGGATTACAGGCATGTGCCACCATGCCCGGTTAATTTTTGTTTAGTAGAGACAGGGATTTTCCATGTTGGTCAGGCTGATCTCAAACTTCCGACCTCAGGTGATTTGCCTGCCTTGACCTCCCAAAGTGCTGGGATTACAGGGGTGAGCCACTGCACCCAGCATATTGAGCTTTCTTATTTGGAATAGTTTTCGGAAGATTCTCTTCCGAATAGTTTTCTAGGTTTAAATTATATGCAAATCATAGTCTTTCTCATTTTTGTTTCTCTTCATTTGAGTTGAACATTACCTCTTGTACAATGGTAAATATTTGTAGAGATGGAACGTATGTGTCTTCCAGTATTTCCTCATTAACTATGAAGCTGCTCTTTGGGTCAAGATATGTCCATTTTAACATGTTGAAGAATGTCATGTGTCCTTTTTTATTGACTTTTTATTACAAATGGGATGATATATTTAAATATATCTTCTCGATGTCTGTGTGATCATAGGACTTTTTTTCATAAGCCTGTGAATATTATGAAATATGTTTATAGATTTTATTTCTTCTCAGTTGTCATGGTCTATTTCTCTTCCTCTGTTGATAAATATCAGTGTTTCCTCAGGTTCTGTACTTGCTCTTTTTGTCCTTTCAATCTCTTAGGTTCTCTTTGAGCTATTTTATTCAAGCTGCTGGCTTCAGCTACCACTGAAATGCTGTTGCTTTTCAAATCTTTACCTTGAGCTTAGATCTCTCTCCTGAGCTCTAGATCGTGAATCATTTCCAGATGAACATCCCCACATATCTGACTGCAGAAACTTCAGATTGTGTATCCAAGATTATTTTTGCTTTTCCTTATCATATTCTTTGTTCTTTTCTCAATTTCAGTTTACATCAGTATCTACCTAGCTGGTCATGAGACAGCATGGAATTGAACTCCACTTTTCACTCTCAGCACAACAAATTAGGTCAGAATTCACCGTTTGCTTTTGCTTTTGTTTTCTTTTTTTCAAGATTAGTTTCCTATTCTGCACTTTTATTGGCCTGTGTCCTGGTATAGATGACCATGTCTCACCCTGGTTTCTTCCCCTCTGACTCTCTCTTTAGTCCTTGCCCTATCTTCTGGCAGGGAATGACTGTGGAAATGCAAATCTGACCAAGTACCTTACCACATTTTATTTACCTTTATTACTTGTATCCTGTGTTTTAGGAAGTGGGTGATTACTTTTATGTGAACACTTAGCAGTTTTTGTTTTGTTTTTTTTTAATGTAGTAGGGAAACATAAGGATGCCTGTGAACATAAAAAATACTTTATAAGTAATTTTTTTTTTTTTTTTTTTTTTTCTTGAGACGGAGTCTCGCTCTGTCGCCCAGGCTGGAGTGCAATGGCCAGATCTCAGCTCACTGCAAGCTCTGCCTCCCGGGTTCAGGCCATTCTCCTGCCTCAGCCTCCTGAGTAGCTGGGACTACAGGCACCCGCCACCTCGCCCAGCTAGTTTTTTGTATTTTTTTAGTAGAGACGGAGTTTCACCGTGTTAGCCAGGACAGTCTCGATCTCCTGACCTCGTGATCCACCCGTCTCGGCCTCCCAAAGTGCTGGGATTGCAGGCTTGAGCACCGCGCCCGGCCTTTTATAAGTAATTTTTAAAAATCAGTGAGCACATGAAGTTTCTTTTGTTGGAATTAGGTCAAGTATTGAAATGCAGAATCACCTGATAATCATGCCTTGCATACCTTTGTCTCTCATCACAGCTGAGAAACACTCACTCAGGCATGGTACTCTTTGTAGTTCCGTTTATACTTATGACTTTTTTTTTTCTTTTTCTTTTTTTTTTTTTTTTTGAGATGGAGTCTCGCTCTGTCACCAGGCTGGAGTGCAGTGGCGTGATCTCGGCTCACTGCGACCTCTACCTCCCGGGTTCCAGTGATTCTCCTGCCTCAGCCTCCTGAGTAGCTGGAATTACAGGTGCCTGCCACTATGCTCGGCTAATTTTTGTATTTTTGGTAGAGACAGGGTTTCACTAAGTTGGCCAGGATTGTCTCAATCTCTTGACATTGTGATGCACCTACCTTGGCCTCCCAAAGTGCTGGGATTATAGGCATGAGCCACTGTGCCAGGCCCTATACATATGTCTTTGTAACAGATCTTAAGCACCTTGGAGGAGCAGAATTATTATTATTATTTTTTTTTTGAGAGAGAGTCTCACTCTGTCACCCAGGCTGGAGTGCAGTGGCACAATCTCGGCTCACTGCAAGCTCCACCTCCCAGATTCACACCATTCTGCTGCCTCAGTCTCCCAAGTAACTGGGACTACAGGCGCCCACCACCATGCCCAGCTAACTTTTTAATATTTTTGGTAGAGATGGGGTTTCACTGTGTTAGCCAGGATGGTCTTGATCTCCTGACCTCGTGATCTGCCTGCCTCAGCCTTCCAAAGTGCTGGGATTATAGGTGTGAGCCACCGTGCCTGGCAGGAGGAGCAGAATTTTTATCTTGACTTTATCCCTAGCAGCAGGGACAATTCCAGATCTGTAAGGGAAAGTGTTTAGTAGAACTTTTCATAATTAGTAAATTAGTAGCAGTATGCTTCTACTGTCAGTTTTCTTTTTCCCATCATAGAGTAAAAAGCAGGCTATATCTCATGTAAGACACATGCACACACACGAGTGAACAACACCAAGACTTTGTGTTCTCATGATGCAACAGTGATGTGAGGATAAGTATGCCACGTATTCTTAAAATAATCTAGAGGAAAGAAAGTGTTATCAAGAAAATTATGAGAGAACATATGTTCATTGGAGATACTGGTCTTTCTGACTCTGGGGTGGCAGAGACAGAAGAAAATCTGCATGTGTGTGGACCCATGTAGTTCAAATCTGTGTTGTTCAAGAGTCAGCTGTAATTAAATGATTACACTCGAGGCTATTTCTACCATGATTTTTCTTTCTCACACCTTATAGACTACAAAGCAGGCTACATCTTATATGACATATATATGAGACACACAGAGAAGAGTGATCTCCATGATTCTTGTTCTTGTGACCCAGGGCTGGTGACTTGAGGAGAAATATGCCATTACAGGAGTTGGTGTCCTTTGAGGATGTGGCTGTGGGCTTCACCTGGAAAGAGTGGCAGGACTTGGATGATGCTCAAAGGACTCTGTACAGGGACATGATGCTGGAGACCTACAGCAGCTTGGTGTCCTTGGGTGAGTGAATATCACGGTAACTCCCAGGAGCAAGTGCTTTCTTCTCTGCTAGTAAGTATATGGACATGTATACAGTTTAATGTTATTTAATTATAATATTCCAGTCCATGAGTAACGTGTCAGCCCCCTCTAATGAAAGGTTCAAACTGGCCCCTTCACTGCACGGCTCCTGAATCCAAGCTGTTGTCATTCTTCAAACGACCTGATTTCGCAGTTCCCAGGTTCACGCCATTCTCCTACCTCAGCCTACCGAGTAGCTGGGACTACAGGTGCCCAGCACCATGCCCGGCTAATTTTTTGTATTTTTAGTAGAGACAGGGTTTCACTGTGTCAGCCAAGATGGTCTCAATTTCCTGAGCTTGTGATCTGCCCACGTGGGCCTCCCAAAGTGCTGGGATTACAGGCATGAGCCACTGCGCCTGGCCTAGTCTCTACATTTTTTATTAACAGGGTACCACATTACCAAACCTGAAGTGATCTTCAAGCTGGAGCAAGGAGAACCTTGGATGGTAGAGGACACCAGAGCCTTCCAGGTTAGTGATAACATATAGTGCAGGGAGATGGAGAAGAGCAAAACCCAGCAGATGTTGACTTTTTAAAGGTTTTTTTTTTTTTTTTTTTTTTTTTTTTTTTTTTTTTTTTTTTTTCCAGACAGGGCCTTGCTCTGTCACCCAGGCTGGAGTGCAGTGACACAATCTCGGCTCACTGCAACCCCCACCTCCTGTACTCAAACAATTCTCCTGCCTCAGCCTCCTGAGTAGCTGGGATTACAGATGCCCGCCACCATGCCTGGCTAAATTTCTTTCTTTTTTGGAGAATTTTTTTTTTTTTTTAATACTTTAAGTTCTGGGATTCCATGTGCAGAACGTGCAGCTTTGTTACATAGGTATACATGTGCCATGGTAGTTTACTGCACCCATCAACCCGTCATCTATATTAGGTATATCTCCTAATGCTATCCCTCCCCTTGGCCCCCACCCCCTGACAGGCCCCGGTGTGTGATGTTCCCCTCCCTGTGCCCATATGTTCTCATTGTTCAGTTCCCACTTATGAGTGAGAAACATGCAGTGTTTGGTTTTCTGTTTCTGTGTTACTTTGCTGAGAATGATGGTTTCCAGCTTCATCCATGTCCCTACAAAGAACATGAACTCATTTTTATGGCTGCATAGTTTTCCATGGTGTATATGTGCCACATTTTCTTTATCCAGTCTAACACTGATGGACATTTGGGTTGGTTCCAAGTCTTTGCCATTGTGAATAGTGCCACAATAAACATACATGTGCATGTGTCTTTATAGTAGAATGCTTTATAATCCTTTGGGTATTATACCCAGTAATGGGATTGCTGAGTCAAATGGTATTTCTAGTTCTAGATCCTTGAGGAATCACCACATGGTCTTCCACAATGGTTGAACTAATTTATACTCTCACCAACAGTGTAAAAGCATTTCTATTTCTCCACATCCTCTCCAGCATCTGTTGTTTCCTGACTTTTTAATGATCACCATTCTAACTGGCGTGAGATGGTATCTCATTGTGGTTTTGATTTACATTTCTTTAATGACCAATGATGATAAGCTTTTTTTCATATGTTTGTTGACTGCACAAATATCTTCTTTTGAAAAGCATCTGTTCATATCCTTCACCCACTTTTTGATGGGGTTTTTTGTTTTTTTCTTGTAAATTTGTCTTAAGTTCTTATAAATTTGTTTTAAGTTCTGGATATTAGCCCTTTGTCAGATGGATAGATTGGAAAAATTTTCCCCCATTCTGTGGGTTGCCTGTTCACTGTGATGATAGTTTGTTTTGCTGTGAAGAAGCTCTTTAGTTTAATTAGATCCCATTTGTCAATTTTGGCTTTTGTTGCCATTGCTTTTGGTGTTTTAGTCATGAAGTCTTTGCTCATGCCTATGTCCTGAATGGTATTCCCTAGGTTTTATTCTAGGGTTTTTATGGTTTTAGGTCTTACATTTAAATCTTTAATCCATCTTGAGTTAATTTTTGTATAAGGTTTAAGGAAGGGGTCCAGTTGCAGTTTTCTGCATATGGCTAGCCAGTTTTCCCAACACCATTTATTAAGTAGGGAATCCTTTCCTCATTGCTTGTTTTTGTCAGGTTTGTGAAAGATCAGATCATTGCAGATGTGTGGTGTTATTTCTGAGGATTGTGTTCTGTTCCATTGGTCTATATATCTGTTTTGGTACCAGTACCATACTGTTTTGGTTACTGTAGCCTTGTAGTATAGTTTGAAGTCAGGTCGTGTGATGCCTCCGGCTTTGTTCTTTTTGCTTAAGACCTTTGTCTTGGCTCTATGGGCTCTTTCCTGGTTTCATATGATATTTAAAGTAGGTTTTTCTAATTCTGTGAAGAAAGTCAATGATAGCTTAATGGGAATAGCATTGAATTTATAAATTACTTTGGGCACTATGGCTATTTTCACAATATTGATTCTTCCTATCCATGAGCATGGAATGTTTTTCCATTTGTTTGTGTCCTCTCTTATTTCCTTGAGCAGTGGTTAGTAGTTCTCCTTGAAGAGGTCCTTCATATCCCTTGTAAGTTGTATTCCTAGGTATTTTATTATTTTTGTAGCAGTTGTGAATGGGAATTTGCTCTTGATTTGACTCTCTATTTTTGGTGTATAGGAATGCTTGTGATTTTTGCACATTGATTTTGCATCCTGAGACTTTGCTGAAGTTGCTTAAGGAGTTTTGGGCTTAAGGAGTTTAAGGAGTTTTTGGGCTGAGATGATGCTATTTTCACAATATTGATTCTTCCTATCCATGAGCATGGAATGTTTTTCCATTTGTTTGTGTCCTCTCTTATTTCCTTGAGCAGTGGTTAGTAGTTCTCCTTGAAGAGGTCCTTCATATCCCTTGTAAGTTGTATTCCTAGGTATTTTATTATTTTTGTAGCAGTTATGAATGGGAATTTGCTCTTGATTTGACTCTCTATTTTTGGTGTATAGGAATGCTTGTGATTTTTGCACATTGATTTTGCATCCTGAGACTTTGCTGAAGTTGCTTAAGGAGTTTTGGGCTTAAGGAGTTTAAGGAGTTTTTGGGCTGAGATGATGGGGTTTTCTAAATATACAGTCATGTCATCTGCAAATAGAGATAATTTGACTTCCTCTCTTCCTGTTTGAATATGCTTTCGTTCTCTTTTTGCTGATTGCCCAGGGGAGAACTTCCAATACTATGTTGAATAGGAGTGGTGAGAGAGGCCACCTTTGTCTTGTGCCAATTTTCAAAGGGAATGCTTCCAGCTTTTAGCCATTCAGTATGATATTGGCTGTGGGTTTGTCATAAATAGCTCTTATTATTTTGAGATGTGTTTCATCAATACCTAGTTTATTGAGTGTTTTTAGCATGAAGGAGTGTTGAATTTTATCAAAGGCTTTTTCTGCATCTGTTGAGATAGTCATGTGATTTTTGTCGTTGGTTCTGTTTATGTGATGGATTATGTTTATTGATTTGCATATGTTGAACCAGCCTTGCATCCCGTGGATGAACTGACTTGATCGTGGTGGATAAGCTTTTTGATGTGCTGCTGGATTTGGTTTGCCAGTATTTTATTGAGGATATTCACACCGATGCTCGTCAGGGATATTGGCTTGAAAGTTTCTTTTTTGTTGTTGTTGTCTCTCTGCCAGGTTTTGGTATCAGGATGATGCTGGCCTCATAAAATGAGTTTGGGGGAGTCCCTCTTTTTCTATTGTTTGGAATAGTTTCAGAAGTAATAGTACCAGCTCCTCTTGGTAGAATTCAGCTGTGAATCCATCTGGTCCTGGGCTTTTTTGGGTGGTAGGCTATAAATTACTGCCTCAATTTCAGAACTTATTATTGATCTATTCAGGGATTTGACTTCTTCCTGGTTTAGTCTTGGGAGGGTGTTTGTGTCTAGGAATTAATCCGTTTTCTAGATTTTCTAGTTTATTTGCATGGAGGTGTTTATAGTATTCTCTGATGGTTTGTATTTCTGTGGAATCAGTGGTGATCTCCCTTTTATCATTTTTTATTGTGTCTATTTGATTCTTCTCTCTTTTCTTCTTTATTAGTCTGACTAGCAGTCTATTTTGTTAATCTTTTCAAAACCCAGCTCCTGGATTCATTGATTTTTTTTTTAAGGGTTTTTTTGTGTCTCTATCTCCTTCAATTTTGCTCTGATATTAGTGATTTCAGTCTTCTGTTAGCTTTTGAATTTGTTTGCCCTTGCTTCTCTAGTTCTTTTAATTGTGATGTTAGGGTTTCAATTTCAGATCTTTCCTGCTTTCTCCTGTGGTCATTTAGTGGTATAAATTTCTCTCTAAACACTGCATTAGCTGTGTCCTAGAGATTCTGGTACGTTGTGTCTTTGTTCTCATTGTTTTCTAGTAACTTATTTATTTCTGCCTTAATTTCTTTATTTACCCAGTAGTCATTCAGGAGTAGGTTGTTCAGTTTCCATGTAGTTGTGTGGTTTTGAGTGAGTTTCTTAATCCTGAGTTCTAATTTGATTGCACTGTGGTCTGAGAGACTGTTTGTTATGATTTCCATTATTTTGCATTTGCTGAGGAGCGTTTTACTTATAATTATGTGGTCGATTTTAGAATAAGTGCTGTGTGGGGCTGAGAAGAATATCTATTCTTTTGATTTGGGGTAGAGAGTTCTGTAGATGTCTATTAGGTTTTTTTGGTCCAGAGCTGAATTCAAGTCCTGAATATCCTTGTTAATTTTCTGTCTCATTGATCTGTCTAATATTGACAGTGGGGTATTAAAATCTCCCACTGTTTTTGTGTGGGAGTCTAAATCTCTTTGTGGGTCTCTAAGAACTTGCTTTATGAATCTGGGTGCTCCTTTATTGGGGGCATATATATTTAGGATAGTTAGCTTTCCTTATTGCATTAGTCCCTTTACCATGATGTAATTCCCTTTGTCTTTTTTGATTTTTGTTGGTTTAAAGTCTGTTTTATCAGAGACTAGTATTGTAACCCCTACATTTTTTGCTTTTCATTTGCTTGGTAAATCTTCCTTCATTCTTTTATTTTGAGCCTATGAGTGCCTTTGCACGTGAGATGGGTCTCCTGAATACAGCACACTGATGGATCTTGACTCTTTATCCAATTTGCCAGTCTGTGCCTTTTAATTGGTGCATTTAGCCCATTTACATTTAAGGTTAACATTGTTATGTGTGAATTTGATCCTGTCATTATGATGCTAGCTGGTTATTTTGCCCATTAGTTGATGCAGTTTCTTCATAGTGTCGATGGTGTTTACATTTTGGTTTGTTTTTGCAGTGGCTGGTACCAGTTTTTCGTTTTTATATTTAGTGCTTCCTTCAGGAGCTCTTGTAAGGCAGACCCAGTGGTGACAGAATCCCTTAGCATTTGCTTGTCTGTAAAGGATTTTATTTCTCCTTCACTTGTGAAGCTTAGTTTGGCTGGATATTAAATTCTGGGTTGAAAATTCTTTTCTTTAAGAATGTTGAGTATTGGCTTCCACTGTCTTCTGGCTTGTAGGCTTTCTGCAGAGAGCTCCACTGTTAGTCTGATGGGCTTCCCTTTGTGGGTAACCTGACCTTTGTCTCTGCCTGCCCTTAACATTTTTTCCTTCATTTCAACCTTGGTGAATCTGATGATTATGTGTGTAGGGGTGTTCTTCTCAAGGAGTATCTTTGTGGTCTCTGTATTTCCTGAAATTGAATGTTGGCCTGTCTTGGTTGGTTGGGGAAGTTCTCCTGGATAATATCTTGAAGTGTGTTTTCCAACTTGATTTCATTCTCTGCGTCCCTTTCGGGTACACCAGTCAAACATAGGTTTGGCCATTTCACATAGTCCCATATTTCTTGGAGGTTTTATTCATTTCTTTTCCTTCTTTTTTCTCTAATTTTGTCTTCACTCTTTATTTTATTAAGTTGATCCTCAATCTCTGATATTTTTTCTTCTGCTTCATTGATTCGGCTATTGATACTTGTGTATGTGAAAGAATTTAAAAGGCCGGGCTCAGTGGCTCATGACTGTAATCCCAGCACTTTAGGGGATGGAGTCAGATCATTTGAGGCCAGGAGTTTGAGATCAGCCTAGTAAGATAGCAAGACCCCATCTCTACAAAAAATCCAGCACCAAAAACCAAGTGTCATAGTGTATGCCTGTAGGCGCATCTATTTGGGAGGCTAAGGTGTGAGGATTGCTTGAGCCCAGGAGATTGAGGTTGTAGTGAATTATGATGTCACCACTGCACTCCAGTTTCGGCAACACAGCAAGACCCTATCTCTCTCTCTGTCTTTTTTTTTTTTTTTTAATTTTATTTTTTAAAAAGCAAGAAAAACAATTTAGCATTAGATAATCTATTAGTGTAATTAACTCAATAGGAAAAGAATCGACATACTTATAAAAACAGTACCCATTGATTTTTATAAAATCTTATGGCACTAGGATAGAAAGTTATTTACTTTAGCTGGGCACGGTGGCTCACACCTGTAATCCCAGCACTTTGGGAGGCTGAGGCGGGCGGATCACAAGGTCAAGAGATCGAGACTATCCTGGCCAACATGGTGAAACCCCGTCTCTACTAAAAATATAAAAATTAGCTGGGTGTGGTGGCGGGTGCCTGTAGTCCCAGCTACTCAGGAGGCTGAGGCAGGAGAAATGCTTGAACCTGGGAGGCGAAGGTTGCAGTGAGCTGAGATCACGCCATTACACTCCAACCTGGGTGGCAGAGTGAGATGCTGTCTCAAAAAAAAAAAAAGTTATTTACCTTTAAATGATCATCTCATAGGAAATACTTATGTGTGGTTCATATGTACGATATTTTTTTACTTATTTCAGCTGTCCACATAGTTGATGACATAATTGAGAGGAGCCAAGAAAGTCACAGTAGACATTTGTGGCAAGTTGTAATTACCAAAAGCAAATCATCAGTTGAGAAGGGAGTGGAATCAGGAAAAACATGTAGTTTGACTTCAAACCATGTACCGGAACTGATTAGAAATAATGGAAACTATTCAGGAATGAGACCTGAGGAGTTGAATGTATTTCAGAACATGCTTCTTTCTGGTGATCCTGATGAAATGCAAGCTGGAGTGAGACCTGATGCTTACGATTTAACTGGAACATTTCTCGGAGGTCATGAGCATCTTAGGATCACAAGATTCAAATTGGACTACAGTGTTTTGAATACAGTGGACTGAGGAATGCCTTCAACGTGGAGGCTATATTAACACATAAGAGTGTTTCTATAGGAGAGACCTCTTGTAAATGTAATAAATGCGGGAAAGCCTGTAATGAGTCAGCTCCTATTGCTCAAGAGCTAACTCAGGTAGGGAGGAAAACTTTTGAACGTCATGTATGTGAGAAAATATTCTGTAAGAAGCATAAACTCACTGAACATCAGAAAATACAATCAGGAAAGAAACCTTATAAATATAGTGAATGTGAGAAAGCCTTCATTATCAAATCATGTCTTACAAAACATCAGAGAACACATACAGAAGAGAAACCCTATGCGTGTGCCATATGTGAGAAATTCTTCTGTCAGATCAAATCCAAGTGTTTATCAGCAAATTCACACACAGGGAAAATCCTGTGAATATAATGAATGTGGAAAAACATTTTGGCAGCAGTCAGCACTCGGTGCATCAGAGAACTCACACAGGAGAAAAACCCTATGAATGTAATGGATGTGGGTTGACCTTCTACCATAAGTCAACCCTCACTATCCATCAAAGAACTCACACAGGTGAGAAACCATTTGAATGTAAATAATGTAGGAAAAGATTCTGCCGGAAGTCAACCCTCCTGGTACCTCAAAGAACTCACAGAGGTGAACAACCGTATGAATGTAAAGAATGTAGGAAAACTTTCTATGAGAAGGCAAATCTCAATGTACCTCAGAGAACTCACACAGGGAAAAAACCCTATGAATGTAATGAACGTGGATAAACGTTTCATCACAAGTCATACCTCAGAGTGCATCAGGGTTTTCATACAGGCAAGAAACCCTATGAATGTAACGAATGCGGGAAAACCTTCTATGAGAAAGGAATCCTCACTAGTCATCAGAGAAGTCACACGGGGGAAAAGCCTTATGAATGTAATCAATGTGGAAAACCCTTTGGCTGGAAGTCAAGCCTTAGGTCGCATCAGAGTATTCACAGAGGGCAGAAAACCTATGGATGTAATATATGGGGTAAAAGCTTCTACCAGAAGTCAGACCTCACTTGATGTGAAATAATTCACACTGGGGAAAAACCCTATGAATGTAATGAGTGTGGAAAATCCTTTGGCTGGAAGTCAAGGCTCAGCCAACATCAGAGATCTCACATAGGATAGTAAAACCTATGAAAGTAATGAACGTGGGAAAATATTTTGCCGAGGTCAGTCATCACTGGACACACAGAACTCACATAGAGAAAACCCTGTGTAATAAATATAGAAAAAACCGTTTGCTTGAAGTCACAGCTTAGCAGACATTAGAGAAGTCACAGAGGAAAGAAATCAGATATTGTTCTTCAAAAAGCATTCCCTTTTATCTAGGACACAGACTTTGTGTACATTTCTGAGCATTCCAGTGTTGTGGTTGGGACCATGTAAAACAGAGTTGTATAGGATAATATGGATAGAAGGGATGAATGTTATTTACAGGCTTCACAACAATAGTCTTGATGGTCCTTCCTGATTTATTATGCCTTGTAGGACTGAAGTTCAGCTGACCCCCAGAGTGACCAGGGAGCCGTTAGTTTGGACCTCGTCACTGATTTAAGAAAGGAGGAATTAAATAGTGTAGAGATCTTTCCACCTCCACTCCCAAGAAATTCCCCTTTGTGCTTGAGAGATCAGGTATTTAAAGCACATGTGTGATTTGTTTGCTTTACACTACAGCCCAGCCTAGTAATTTGGAAGTTTCTGAGAAAAGTTACTGTCTTCTGGCAAAGCAGTCATTATAGCACCGATGGCATCACCCTTTCCTCAGCTGTGGCCCTGGTCTATGATTCGCACCTGCTAATCAGGCCATATCTTGTCTGAGATCCACCTGTGTTTCTACTCCCACCAAGTGGTGGCACACCTGTTCCAATATCCAGGCTCCCCTGAAGCCCCAGTGGCTCCTCTTCCACCTATGCATAGCGACCTTCAGGGACACAGAATCCAACCCTAGACCTGCAGAGAAGCAGTGGGAGAGGACAGTTTTCTGAACTTCCAAAGGAAAGTTGGTGGAATTTGAACTGAACCAGAGAGTCTGTCTTGCTCCCTGTGGATCAGGACCTGATGGATCAAGACTTCTCTTTGTCCATATGACAGTGCTGTGGAATTTTGTTTATTTATTAAATCCTGGATTGAGAACCTGCGATATTATGGCAAAAATTAGGAGATTTGAATGTAGACCAAGTGGTTGATATTACTATTAACAACTAACTTTAATATATTAAAGGTATATGGTTATAGACCAGATGTCTGTTTATAACAGGTGCACCCTAATGCATGAAGAATTGTCTGTATTTTTGCAAGTTTATTGAAGCAGAAATTAATGTGTTAACCGCCTTTGGATCCATTAAAAAGGTGTTTGTTCTTACCCAGTAAACTAATTTGGGTGTCTTCAATGGATTATCTTAGTTGGAAAAACTGCTCTAGTGTATATGATGGGATAAAATAGCAGAGGCAGAGTCATGGGGGTAAACCTACCCCATAATTCTTGAGCCAGTTCATATTCCATGTATCTGATAAATTTTTACCCATACTTTGAAATTCCATTGGTCCCATTTCACCCAAGCTTTACTTAGTTCTTTTATGAGATAGACTTGAACTTTGCTTTTCCTTCCCTGCTTTAGACAAGGAATTCCACACGAGTTTCTCATAGTTTCCACCACCACTTTTCCTGTTCAAAGGGAAATGCTGGCTGGGTGTGGTGACTTACTCCTGTAATTTCAGCACTTTGGGAGGCTAAGTTGGGAGGATCCCTTGAGGTTGGGAGTTTGAGACCCATCTAACAACATAGTGACTCTGTCTCTACAAAACAAACAAACAATTAGGCATGATGGTGCCTGCCTGTAGTCCTAGCTACTCTGGAGGCTGAGGTAGGAGAATCGCTTGAACCCGGGAATTGGAGACTGCAGTGAGCTATGATCACACCAGTATACTCCAGTCTGGACAACAGAGTAAGAACCTAGCTTAAAAAAAAAAAAAAAAAAAAAAAAAAGGGGGAGGGGGGGGGGGGGGGGGGGGGAGGGAAGGAACTAAAGGAAGGAAGGAAAAATGCTGAGGTGGAGTCATCCAGGTTTATGTGATCTTGACTTTGGTGCAGGTTAGGTTGAGGCTGAGAGGCTTTGTATTTTGTCCTCTTTGATAAGGATTGCTAAAATCTCTCTTGATGGGTCTTAGTGTTCTTTCCACAAAAAGGGAGAGTCTAATACACATTTGGAAGTGTTAAGTCCACCTCGAACATAAAGGAAAAAAGTGCAATTACTTTTCTTCCCCTAAGAAGGTAAAGTGGTCAGAGCCAAGAGGAGGAGGCTCAGAGATGACTGTTAGGTGTTTACAACACTAGCCTTGAATTGTAATGTTCAGTGTTCCAGTTTTCACTTTTTTGTTAAAATTATTTTTATTTGACTTTTGATACTATTGCAACTAAAATTGTTTCTTTTATGTATTGTTCATTTTTTATGTCAAGAAATACAATTAAATTTGTATACTGATCTTGTATCCTGTTGCCATACTGAACTTTATTCTAAGGTGGTGAATTCCTTATGATTTTCTAAATACAAGATCAGGTCAAGTGCAAATAAAAATAAGTGTACATAATACTGGCCAGGCACAGTGGCTCACACCTGTAATCCCAGCACTTTAGGAGGCCGAGGCAGGTGTATCACTTGAGGCTAGATGTTCAAGACCAGCCTGGCCAACTTCATCTCTACTAAAAATACAAAAATTAGCTGGGCATGGTGGTGTGCACCTGTAGTCCCAGCTACTCAGGAGGCTGAGGCACAAGAATCGCTTGAACCCAGGAGGTTGCAGTGAGCCGAGATCATGCCATTGCATTCCAGCCTGGGTGACAGAGTAAGACTCCGTCTCAAAAAAAAGGATAATAATCCTTTCCAAAATAGATGCATTTTGATTTTGCTTGTTGCCAAATTGTCCTGAGTAGCACCTCGATTTTGTACAATGATAACTAGATGTGACAGTGGATATATTGTTTTTTATCTTAGGAAATACTTATATAGGCTTTCACTATTAAGGATGATGTTAGATGTGGGTTTTTCATGTACTCTTTACCAATTTGACTGTATCCTTTTCTATATCTACTTAGCTGAAAGTTTTTATCGTGAAAGAATGTTGAATATTTTCCAACCACAGCTGTGATCCCCAGCTAGTGATCAGGTCCTTGCAAGTCAGAAAGGGAAGGACAGGACCCCAAGCTTGCAACCCTACCACAATCACACAGCACAAGAGATTATAGAAATACCAGTTAGTAAGAGGTGTATTTCACCCAGTAGAAGACAAACTACAAAGAAATCAGCCAGTCTTCAAAACTAAGATCAAGATTGATCACAGGATTTCTGAGTGACTTTCTCAGCCAGGAGACTGCCCCTGTTAAAGATTCAGTGGTAGAAGGGAGCAATTAGGAAGTAACAGGTACTGACCATCTATTGGACCCCCAGGGAGCTGTTCCAAGAGGATAAAAAAGCTGAGCACCTGTCAGCCGCCACCCAGCACCAACTGCAGCTGCAGCAGAGGTGAGTGAGGAACCCTTACATGCCATCCCTCCACAGGAATGTGCCCCAAAGAGGTCTCTTCCTCCTACTCCACATTCTGTGTGTCTGCTCACCACTGATGCTTCTCCATTTCTTCCCACTCTTCATTTCCCCATCCCACCCTTCTACCCCATCCCTTCCTACACAGACTGAAGCAGGAACTAGAAAACTGTAGGTCAAGCCCCTGCCCAAGTCCAGAGCCTGCAAGAGGTAAGGATGGCCCAGTAGGAGTGAGCAGAGAACTGAGCTCCTGAAGGGGACGAGGCAAGAGGGCAAGGAGGGTCCTCAGAGAATGGTCTGCACAGAGGTATGGTTCTACAGAGACGCAGCCAAGAAAAAGGTGTTGAGGCAGGCTGATGGAGCAGAAGGGTATGGCGAGGGTAGGGAAATACGTGGAGACCCTCAACCCTGATGCTGATCTAATGAAAGTTAGTCCCCAGCCCCTAAGAATTTCTGAGGAGAAACCTAGTGTTGCCCATTGAGCAGGGCCTGATTCCCTCCTAAGCTGGGAAGACACACCGTGCCTTGCCCTTATTCCATGGAGCTGCAGGGAAAAAAGGCAGTGTTTTGCCACAACCTACCTCAGCTGAGTCTGTTTGTGGTGGCGTAGGTGTTAAGCACAGTTCCTACATGCAGGCCTCTGAACAGAATGAAATGGCCTGACTGCCTCTTGCCCTGGACAAAGTTATTGCTGCAAGTGCTCAATAAATGCTTACCTATACTCCAGGTCTCTACACTACTCATTTCTGGGACCCAACAGGCTGTTCTGGGCCCCCAAGCATAAGGATGCAGTCCTGAGACCCTCTAACAATGGGCCTAGGATGTTTGGATCAGTGATGATTTCTTCCATTCCTGCACAGACTCCCAGTATTATTACTTTTAAAAATAAAATTAGGGAGCTGGGATTCAAAGCCAATCAGGTTTCATGCTGTGGTCCCTTCTGGTTCACTGAGAACATGTAATTTGAGACTGCATGTATTGTGTGTTCTGATGGACACACATGATGTAACAGACACTTGTTAAATGTAGTATGTTAGAAATCCTCAGTGTGCAGGGAGTCATTCAACTAGCTTAGTCATTCAACTAACTTAAATTTGTGTACATTTGAGGCATATTATAAATCCATGGAAATGCATTGACACAATTAAGGTCATGATGTACTCCAAATTCTGTGTTTATGTATCTTGATACATTAAATTAACATCTAAGAGGTATCTTCCCTTGATAGGCTTCCACAGTAGGTAGTTACAGTAGGTAGCTGGTTACACTATGGAATTGGGGACAGGGTCCCTGGAGATAGTAACTTTTTCCACAAAAAAGTAAGAATGTGGCAAGGATGGAAACTCCTTCAGTCACTCTGGGATATTAGGCAACAAACCTAAAACTTGACCTTTCAGCTTTCTAACTATGATGTGGTGTTAATCATTTCTGTGTTATAAATGAACTGGCAATACGCTACAAAAATATAAGTGGAGATTAGAAAATACATAAATGTAATGGCTACTAAGATATATTTAAAAACAATTTCAGCTAACCCATGATTACAAGTAATTTATAGCCTTGGTTTATTCGTTATGATACAAGAAAAACATAAATGATTAGTTCAATTGATGAATAAGATGCCTTCATAAAAATTCCAACTACTCATAATTGTAGGAGCTCATGAAAACTAGAAATAGAAGGTAGCTTCCCTCATACATATTGGTGAAATGTTTAAAGCATATTTGGCTGGAAACAATTCAAGTATGCCTAGTATATTCAGGTATAATAGACCATCATACTTTAAGTTTTAGACTGTGAAATAGATAAAGGTATAAAATTTATGATTATGCAGTTAAAAGAATCTACAGATAATTTGTAGAATGGCTAAATGAGTATAAAAGCTTGCTAAATGTATGTCGGTATTTTAAAAATGAACTTTTTGTCTTGATATCAGGGCAGAGGACCCAAAATAAATACATTGAGGAATCTACAGTATATTGAAAAAAGAATACAATATAGCCATGACATTAAAGACAGGTACCTGGTGAGGATAAGCATCTCAGTCAAAGCCTGCCTCACAGGGAAGGGTCACAAGAGGTTGGGCATGGGCTCTATTTTTTCTTTCTTCAGGGTTGTGCTGGCTTGTACTTCCTCTCTCAGATCTGGAACTACCAGTGTGTGCACAGAACACCTCAGATCCAGGGGTGTGTATCCTGTAGTGTAGACCTAACACTGAAATGAATAAATAGACCTGTGGAGTTAAGGAGACAACAGTTATTTAAAAGACCCTTGTCTTTTAGATACTTATAAGTGACAGAAATTGCATTTATTATTGCTGTTGTTGCCTGTGCTTTTGAGGTCATATTCAGAAAATTATTGCCCTGGCCATTGTGTTGCAGCTTTCTGTGCCACCACCCCCTGCCATTTTTTTTTTTTCTTTTTCTTTTTTTTTTTTTTTTTTTGCTTAGTCATTTTATAGTTTCATGTCTTATTTTTAAGTTTTTAATCCATTTTGAGTTGATTCTTTTTTAAAAAAAGATGGAGTACAGTGGCATAATCTGAGCTCACTGCAACCTCTGCCTCCTGGGCTCAAGAGATTCTGTCATTTCAGCCTCCAGAGTAGCTGGGACTATAGGTGGACACCACCATGCCCAGCCAGAGTTGATTCTTGTGTAAGCATTGACTTAAGGATAGAATTTCTTCTGCATGTGAATGGCCAGTTTTTGTAAGTTGGTTTATTGAAGAAACCGGCCCCCCGCAAACTTATTTTGTGTTCTTTGTAACCTTGTTAAAAATCAGTTGGTTGCAGACATGTTGATTTCTTTCTCTCTCTCTCTCTCTTTTTTTTTTTTTTTTTTTGGAGACAGGATTTCATTC